AAATAAAGTTATTAATGTTTTCTGGCGGTGTTAAATAGTATTATACAATAATGTATTGTACTGTACACACTATAATGTAAGTCATATTAAAGGTTGAAATATCTTATGTATGTTTAGTCTCCTTGCTGCTGGTAAAGGAAACCGGAGCAGTACAATATACATGTACATGTTCCACTGAGTGATAAATGATCCCCGTTTCAGCCCGATACCTGACACAGACACATAGCATCGTAAGCCAATAGGCCACCAGTTCTTTGATTGGACCTACCCATTAACTTTGAGTGAAACATTATTTGACACACCAAAGAGCTAAATTAGGTTTCATCTCGAACATGAATCATTAATCGTAAGATATGCCTACATGCTGTCATTTTATTATCCTTACTTAGGCTGTGTGCTTTACTTAATGTGATCCCATCCCCAGTAGACATGAGACACATTCACAAGATCCAATTTATTGCCAGAGAGAATCATGTTTAATATTCAATAATGTGAGGTTGACAAGAGCGCAGGAAAGACAAACTGAAGAGTTTGCTACAGATTCCCGTTGGGATCAGCCATTCCAAATACCACCTGGGTATTTTTGTATCACAAACACATTGTACGCATGCTCTACAGCAGGGGTCCACACCCCTTTTGCTTGGCGGATGAACACGATGGAATAACCGGCTCGGCAGTTGTTGCAGACGGGGGGGCGAGAGGGGGTACCAGTCGCTGCTCGCGGTTAAACGCATGGGGGTCATTTCAATATAAACCACCGGCTTCACGGGAAGTCAGCTTCAGGTCACAAAGCTTAGCACGGTTTAGGAAAAGACCGGGATTGAAAGCGACATTACTGACTAACTACTCAAGTCACTACTTGTCACATCACGGAATGTCAAAGTGTGACAGGGTGTCCAGTTTTTGATTGTTTGAGTCACACATCTGGCCCCACTAGGGGCTGAGATCTCGTCGACTATGAAATTGAGATGATTGACTAATTCTGCTTGGAAAGATTTGAAAAGCCCTCCATGTCAATCTCTGGCCGTCTGTCTGAACCCGTTGTGTAGAGCGAAGTCAATAGTGGCTAATCGAGTGGTCACTTCAGCTGAAAGCGTCTGGCATCGAATCGGGTTGTTGGCGACGAAAAAGCAGAAAGAAGAATGTGACGGAGAAGCAGAGAGAGCTGAGAAATAACACTTTAGGTTTGAGAAGTCATCATCTCCATGTGGAATATGATCATGATGTAAACGAGAAGCTTATGGAGCATAGCGCAGCTGGCAGAAATAAATGCTGTTATTGTACATTTCTGCGAACCACAGGATCTGCAGAAGGCACAATTTCAAATGGTCACCTTTGGAAAGCGAGTGGCTGTTTAGGTCAAAAACAATTGCGGTTAGTTTTTGTTTTCTTCAGCCAAGCTTTCCTTCTTTGCTGTCATCTGCTTGATCCTCGGCTCCTTCGGTCCGGTTGATGAAATGTCCTCAAGTAATTGTTCCAATCGTTGGCAACAGTTGGCAACTTGCATGAAACCATCAGTTTGTAGATCTCTCTGAGAGGTTGGAAAACTAGAAAAGCAATATATACAGTATCACATATGTGAGTTAAATCAGAGTCCTATGGAAAATACACTTTGGAGCTTTCCGGTTTTGTAAATATGGAAAGTCTTTTGCACACTCTGGATGACCGACAGACATTTTTAATGTTACAAAGTTAAATAGTAGCTTTTCATTGCTCCATTTTTTGTTTGTGTTGTTTCATTCTCATACATTTAGTTCAGAGACTTTTCCGAAAGACATTTTCTAACATGAGAACAGGTATATAACAAAGTGTATTTTTTTGTATTTCAAAGCTCCGACTTGGTATTATTTTAGTGGCCATTAAGACAAAATGTTGTTTCTAACCTCAACAGGCTCCAGGAAGCTATTTACATTCAAATCTGAAAAAAAGAATTGCACAGTAAAGGGCTGTGCCTCTGACACGTTGCCTCTATATCACCTGTACTTTTTGCCTGTGTACTTCAGGAATATATTCATTTATTCATGTCGAAATATTCAACATGAATTAGGGACTTCATATTGTAATTATATTTTAGCTATCTGAACATGATCAGTCACATCCTCAGAGATCTCGTTGTATCGGTCAGTCTGTTTCTTTTTTGATTCCACTAAATGTCGACTATCAGCTACTCTTTCAAACACCGCAACAGACACATTGTGTTTTTTCAGGCTCCATCATGGGTGTTAATGTGTTTCTGACATGTGATCTAAGACATCTCTCCTCCCCCCCCTCTGCTTTTTAGCTCTTCTATAGAGCCCTTCAGTTGCTGTTGCTCTTGGCTGTATTTTATATACCACTCCCCTTGATCATAAGAAATCTATTAATAATGTAATAGCTGGATCTTCAATAGCTGGTCCTCTTCAAAAGGAAACAAAGGACAAAGTCTTTCCCCGTTAACACCAACTCCTTCAATTTAGACACCAGATTGGACCAGCAGAATGCTGATGCCTGTTCCCATCGATGTATTACCTCCCTACCCAGTGCCTCATTTCTAACTGCGTCCAATTTCAGAGACCAATCTCATCTGTGATATGGTGAGGTTGCCTGTTTTATCGCTTCGAGGGCTGAAAAAGATTTTGAGTGATGATTTTCCTTCTGAAAGTCAATTTCACAAAGCAATTCATCACATTACCGTTTCAACTTACAAATCGATTTGTTTCATTAGGATTCAGATTTGGCGCTTGGCCTTTCAGAGAGGGACCAAGCGGAGACTGCACCGTCTGAGTGGGACAGATGGCTGCTAGTTAATTTAGCATGAACTGGACCTACACCACCTTTTCCCTGCTCATAAACAGTCTGCACCGCCGATCAGTCGTATTGCCAACACGTTCCCTCCCATTGGCTCAGGCAATAGGTCTCAATTAGCTGAGAGACAACTAGAGATTTACTACGGAGCAAAAGACATAACTCAACTCAGCGCCCCCAATCTGTGACTTATCGTTGAGTCAATGGACGGGTGAGTGTGCCACATATGGATTAGCTTGCAATTACGGTGCTCAATGCCACGAGCATTCAATGACATTCGATTGTGGTTTATTTGTTGTAAACGATTGGCATTCAAATTCCATTGAATACTGATTTATAAGGGAAAAAATCCAGGAACACGAGGCACAGCTCTCTTTAGCTAGTCCAATTTCTGATGTTGTTTTGTTAACATCTGCGCTTAGTGCATCTTCATGCCGGTGAGCAACTCATGGACTGCCGCTGCGCACCGCTCTCATATTGCCAACAACGGCGAAAACGGCGTCTGCAAATAAATGGGACTGCATGCCGCATTTTTCTTCTTCTGCGTCCTCTCCTGAGCTGCGTCTCTTTCCTAAGCTGGGCCCCTCCTCAACGGCTGGCAAAGCCTCCGACTGTCGGAAGGTAGAGGTGATGGAGGGGAAGCCCTACACGGGCCCGAAGGCTCCCTGAGCTTCATCGCTCATGCGGGGACGAGCCACTGGGGACGAGCCGCAGGTGGCTGGCAGTGACGGATAACGGGGGCTGGGTGTGTAATCCTTCAGCTTTTCAAAAGTAGTTTGAGAAGCGAGTTGTCAAAGAGCAGATTCTCGCCGCCTGCCGCGGAACCGTGATGTCAGCTCATGACTGCGTCAGGGGACGGCCGCGCAAAATTGAAATCTCAGTCCTGGTGGCGGCGGACTGACAGAGGGGTTATTGTGCAGCTTATCAGGGGGAAGGTGAAAGGGAGAGATTTACTTGTCTCTCAGTGGGGGATATGCCCCCCCTCCCCATCAAAAACGTTAGAAGGAAACAGACGAGGAATATCTGAGAAATAAGTTGAAAAAAAACGGAAAATTCACAGTGAAATTCACCTGCCACGAGCTGCAAAGAGCCAAATAACTATGCTTTCTAAGTGACAGCAGCTCATTCCTTTGAGGGTCGCTTTGCAGTAAACGATCACTCATGTGGATAATTCGATTGAGGGGGATATGGAAATTTGATTCAATGAGAGCAGCGTGACATTTACATTCCCTTTGCCATCTGCTCTGAGGTATATTTACGGAGTTAACTCAATCGTAGGAGCGAGGCAATCAAGACCGTCATTTTTCATCCTGCAATAACATTAATACAACATGACAGCAATTACAAACGGGAATCATAATTTGCCGCAGCGGGGCGTTAACTCAATGCATCCAATATCACGGACAGTAAGGTAGTCCTTGATAATAATAAATTGGAATAAAATTGAATTTTGATGACGCAAAATAACTCCGACACCTCCATGTCTCCGAGCTGCGGTGATTCCCAGAACTTTTTGACATTACCGACAATACCGTCTGTTTAGACACTGCCGACTGCCATGTGAGTAAAAACGATGGACGTCCCTTCCATTTGCAGCAGTACAAGCTGGGCGTAATCAGAAGCGACAGTCTCTAAACGGCTGCTTGCAGGTAACACAAAGAGCCCGGTACGAAACGCAGATCCTCAGAGTTGTAACTTTAAATGAGACTGAAGTAAAGGACGATGTTTTTTCATGAACACTGGGCTCTGCGGGTGGCATTTGATGACTAATATATCCAACCGGCTGGATAGTTTGTTAGTTTTTTTTGTTGACATTCGTTCTTACCAGAAGATGAATTCTAAGCTATAGTTCATACTGCTCATACTTTTCCTCTGCGGCACCGTGAGGTGTACATGTCTCGAAAGTGGTGTTGCTCAAATCTAGTCAGATTGTCAGATGGTGCCTCCGGCATCCTTTTTAGTTCAGAGTACTTCTTGCATAGCAAATTGTTGAAATGGTATTCAAAGTTTTCTCCAGGGGTTTATGCATAGTTCTCTTTGTTTTTGCTTTGTAGCTGCTTGCCTAATCCAGGGAGCATTAAAGAGCAGATCCACTGGCGCCAAGTGCTGCCGTATTTCCATCTGGTCTCAATAGGTGTATACAAATAAATGACTAAAGTTTGTCTTGTTCTACTGCAAAGAGGAAATCACTGTACAACCTGTGTTTGTGATTCCAGGTCTGAAGCGGAGCTACACCTGTGAAGTCTGCAGCGTCACACTGAACTCGGTGGCACAGTACCATGCACATCTGCAGGGCTCAAAGCACCAAAACAAGTGAGTGGATCTCAATAAAGGTCGCTGCAGAAACACGGCTAATTTCCAAGATATCTTCATGTCTTAGATCTCCGTCCAGCTCCTCTTTAGGTGGACTTTGAACTCTGGAAACAGTTAATTACACATGTAATGTATACTTTATAAAAGTATTGAAAAGAGCCGCTTTGTTGAGACAGACTTTTCCGGGGGGGGTGTCAATTGATGTTGAAAAGGAGCTTCCATTCTTTGCCATCCGTTTGGATGGAAGTGTCAATTTGCAGCGGTGGGGGGGGGGGGGTCCTGATCCGTTCTGGTTCTGGTTCTCCCGTTCCTCTTTTTACTTTAGCTGACAAAACACAAGGGAGGGATGCAAAGCTCTTATTGGTTCTTGGTCAGTGAAACTTGTGAACCAAATGTTTTTTCAGGGGGGGTGCGCCCCCCTGTTATAATGGTGGGGTAAACGCAGTCCTTCACACCATTCCTAGACTGCTTGCAGAGGCTACCATGCAAAGTCCCACCTGCCCTGCAGGACTAAATAAGATTCAGACATAATTCACGTAGCTAAGGGGCAGTCAGGGGTGGAGTTTAGCAATTAGCACAGCAGGGATTGCACATTTAGCAGCAATAGCAGCTATTATTTAGTAGTAAAAATGAAATTGATGTGGATCTACCTCTTATGCTGCTTAAGGGCTTAATGCCCTTAAATGCTTAATATGAATGGATTTTTTGCAATTAACAATTTGTTCAATTTAGCATTAAATCTGTGTGTCAAATGGTACTAACCCCAATATTCTTGCAGACACTTAAAAGACTGATGTGCGGATGGGAATGGCCTGCCAGCTTCCCCTAAATATCCTCTTTCCAAGAGAAATTAGACATAAAGGGGGTCTATTGTGGGGCGTGATCACAGGTTGAGGTTACGATGTGCTTTTTGCCGCCGCTTACTGCACAGATTGTGCAGAAAGCTACAAGATTTACAAACAGCAACTTGATGACAGCAATAAAAAAATTAGATAGTGACCGTTGGACTGGTATTAGTCGTATGGCCACATATGCGGCTGTTGTCATTCTGATGTGTTGTTGTTTGATAAAACATTTGCCATACTTAGTTGATAATATCAAGGTATAATTAACCAAGCAGCTAAAACTAGTTCATGCCGTTTTAAATAAATATGTTTGGGAAAGAAAATAAGAAACACAATATCATGACTTGACAAGGGCTTATTAAAAAGCCCAAAAACTGCATGGCTGTGAAGCTTTTCCTTGCTAAGCAGAACTAAAGGCAGAAAAGCGAGGGAATTCAATTTTGAATCAGGAGGTGAAGAAAATGACCCGTTCATGACAACTGTACTAATGAGGAGTGTGATCGATACTCCTCGCGAGTAGAACAACCCTGGTGTACAAACCCCCCCCCTGATTTGCTGCAAGCATTACAAGCAAGCAACTCTAATCTAATTGACTTTCCTGAAGATTTAGTAGCTTGATTCGCCCTTTTCTCACAATTGTGTTCAATCCTCAGTTTTCCAAACGTGAAGGAAACACTGAGTATATTAATTCTCTATTGAGTGTTTGAGCATCACAGGAAGCCTGCCTTGCTTCGGCATGAATAGCCCAGCGGCTCCGTGTGGTCCCTCTGCAAGGAGGCGAGGAGGAGCTCAGTGCTGAGCGCAGTGGAGGAGGCGAGAGATGCTGGGCTGGTGGGACTGTGTTAGCTAAGGGCAAAGGAGAAGGAAGCCATTTGACCTCTTAGTGACGGGATCTGCTGGACCTTAACAGCAACCGCTTAGTGATTCCTTTTGGGATATATGGTGTTCTGTTCAAGGGAAGCACCTTTGCATAGACCTCAAATAACTCAAAGGGAACATGTGATAGCACTTAGTTATGGGATTAAAATATATTCAGTATACATCAGTTTGAACGTTTGAAATAAAAAAATAAATCATAAAAACAGAGAGTCAAATTGGCGTCCGTCTTTCTGTCCACTCTCTTTCTGAGGGGGATGGATTCATTCCGTAAAGTAAAAACGGACTTTTAACTCTTAGAGCACATCTTTGGTCATCTTTTGCACTTCTTCAAAATATTTCATAAAATTTTGTTGAAATAACATAAAAAATATATATTCATATCAACTAATAAAATTTGTAATTTTATTTTTGTGTTTATCCCACCATGAAAAAGGGAATCTCTTTCACTTAGTGTGCGGGGATTCCCTTTGGATGAATACTAATTATCGAAGCAATCGATTTCACTGAAATAGACTCACTTGGTACCTCCGCGTTCCCCATTTCTGTTGGCTTCTAGATCTTTTGAATGCTGTTGACTCGTACTGCTGGATGCTGGATATAACAATGTTACCACCAAACTGCAGCACGTTTTGAGAGCCAAGCAATCGGCCCACCCTGATTATTCACACGTTCCATAAAACCACGTGAATCAGAAGGAGAAACGGTTCATTTCTAACCACAAACTAAGAATTTGGTTGGTTGGTTGGTGCAGGCTGTGCAGGGGCACGTGTTCTGCAGCAGGCATGCAGTCGTTCCCTTCTCGACAGGCATTGCGCTGGTAGTTGGAAATACAGACAACATGTCCCCTCAGCCATAGCGAGTACGGGCCAAACTTAGTTCTAAACTGAAAAGGCATTTGCTTTTTAATAGTGATAAAGTCACACCCATACAGATGCAACACAAAAGCCAATGCTTTTTTTGGGGGGCTTCCCGTTGATTGATTTGGGCTCTTCACAACCATTTGAATTAATTTAAATCATCATTTATTGCATTTCTTCTTGTTTAAGATTTGAATCACTTCAAAACTGAGAGCAATAATCTTGGCATCGTCAACTCAAGCTGACAGTGTAATTATTGGGCAATCATCTCTTCCCAGGAGAGCCATCCATCGAGCACAACTACATGCACGTGTAATCACATGCATAGCACAGTTGTCCTTCCAGATATGCTTTGGATCCAACCACGGGCTGCAGAGACGGATGAGCACATGAAGCGTGTGATTTTTGCCACGTTTCACAATTAATAATGAGATAAGAAATCGAATCGAAGGTTCATCAGTCAACATCTGGCACTCAAGCGCCCGTCCACGCGCCTGACAACTTGTGATCAGATCTCACATCATCACTCCATCTGAAGATAATCTGAAGATTTCTCTATTTAACCGGCAAAAGGAAAACAGGCATTTTATAAGAATTAAAAGAAGAAATAAAAACAATCCCGACTGGGCAAGTCTTTACTTTCAAGAATGGGTCCAATTCTAATAGTATAGTATCAAAATAAAGATTACAACAGGCATTACAATTAGTCGTACCATCTTTCTAGTAGTAATATAGGGATGGATATTTCTCACATTACCAAAGAAATCATAAGGGTTCATTGTCCATAACTCTGTTTCCTAAAATTCATGGCAATCTATTTGATGGCTGTTGAAATATTCTCATGAATAAAACAAAAAATCAACTTGATAATGGTGCATAATATGAATTGATCTAATATGTGTTGAGATTTTTTAGCCTTGATCCAAGTGGTGGACCGACTGGCCAACAAAGAGCCACAGTGTTATAAACATAAACCTCCAGCTGGTTGTTCTGCCCAACAGTAGCGAAAGGATTTATCCAGCATGGTGTTCTGCTCCTTGCAGACACATTGGACAGGGCGGAATGTTGTAATTGCAGTACCTGAATGCATACCTGGTCCCCTCCTTCACTGCCTTGTGTTTCTTTATTGCCACAAACGGAGCTGTACAGCTCCAATGTGTCTCCACCTCACTCGTCCCCCTTCTGGAAACAAGCCGATGGCGACTCACAGGCAGGCGTGTATATTCTTTTTTCAGTTCAGCTGCATATTTATTCACACTCGTCGCTGCCAAATATACTGTCAGTTTATTTGAGTATGTGTAAAAACAATTCATATATTACTACTACTTACTATTTTATTTCTGGTCATGTTGATGTTTTGCAATGACATGGAGAGGGCTTTACAATCTACTCTTATACACACGCACGCACACACACACACACACACTGTTGATGTAGGTTTTGTAGGTGTAGGATCATGATGATTGTCGTAAATTTGGCTATTTTTAGGCAGAAAAATGATACGCAAATCCATTCAAATTAAATGAAAGGAATTTGGGATTCTCCACCAGAATGACCTATACAATTTACATACGGTATAATTATATGGTTGAATGACAATTTGGACTGATGAAAATATCTTTGTTCTGTCTGTGGGGTATGTTGTCATTATGTCATGGTTGGCTCCATTAATTTCTATGACTTTTATGCTATTTGTGTCCCGTGCCTGCTCCAGAAAAATACAAAATGAGCATAGCGAGAAAAAACGGATCTAATAGTTAAGGCTTCATCCACTTCTACCCACATAGTATTTCAGTTTAAGATCTAGTCTGCCAGATAAAAATGAACAAAGAAACACATACAAGCACAGTCTGTATCTAGTCACTAGATTGCCTTAATTCTTATTTATTGTCACCGTTTTTTTCCAACAAATGATGATCTATTTTTGGAACACTTAACTTCATAAAAACTAAGCCTATATATTGCAAGTCACTTTAGATTCAAAGCACCCAGAAGAACTGGCTCTGAATGCAAATTAGTTCATAAAATGTCCTCGCTCATAATGAATACAAAGAGGTACTTAAAAGCTTAAGTTAGTGTTCTTTCAATATTCTTTGAAGGGAACAGGTTTCTCAAACAAAGTTGTTTACTTTTATAGCTCCGGTGAAAAGAGTAAGAGACTCTTCTCCGCTCGAGCTGATTGTCATGAATAAACAACCAATCCAAAATGTTTTTCTCTCAGCTTTCAACAGGGCAGCAATGTAGTAAATTCAGCATTTTAATAGTGATAAAGTCGCCTGTCTCGTTCCACGTAGTTCAGTGATTTCCCATCGTTGGCTGGGCAGAAACTGGAGGAACCTGATGGTGGAGAAATCCCTCAGGTGTCATTCACAGGTCCGTCGTCCACAAGTCTCTGAGGCGGCGTAGTCGATGGGGAGTC